CCTGTGGTGGCCCCGCAAGCCGTCACGGTGCCCTCGCTCCCGCCCTGGCCCCAGGAAAGTGGGCTGACAGCCCGCCCCCACAGGCCTGCCAGCAGCAGGTGGGGGAGGGCAGGGCCCCGCAGGGACCAGGGCAGAGCAGGTGCCCAGGGCCCTCATCCCCCACCCCCCACTCCCCCGGCTGCAGGGAGGCAGCGGGGCTTGGAGCCTGGAGTTGGGCCTCGAGGGGATCTCCGGGCCCTTCAGGGGGGCTTTCCTGGGAACTAACCCCGCCCCCCACCTCGGGCTCCCAGGGCACCACCAGAGCCTCCCAGGGGACCCTCCTCAGCGAGGGGGCCTCTCCCCCACATTCCTGGCCAGGCAGACGGACCGGGAGGAGGGGTTCCTGGCAGAGATGTGGTGTGGGTTCCAGGACCCCAAGGCCATCCCTGCCAGTGACCGGGCGTCTGTACGGGTCAGGGCGGGGGTGGGCGGACGGGGACAGAGGAGAGGAAGGGGGTCTGGCACCCCAGTCCCGAGGGAGGGGAGGAGGGTGTCCAATCCAACCCCTCTGGTCCCCACCCGGGGAGGGAGGCGGTCACAAGCCCAGGACTGCCTGCCCATCCCGGCCGCACAGGCCCCCCGCTGTGGGCGAGGGAGCCGGAGTCGAGGGGGCCGAGAGGGAGAAGCGAGGCCCCCGCCTGCCGGCAGCCCCTGTGGAGGCTCAGGGACACAGCGTACCTTTCTTCCCGTCTCCAGAGGTAAACTCGTGGGGGAAGTACTCCTGCGGACAAAACCACGGTGAGCCGGGCCTGTAGGTGGCACCACTGCCCTGTTCATCACCCGGCGGGCGGGGCGGAGTCGGAAACGCTGCAGCGGGAGGACTGGCCGATGCCCAGGGGCCAGCAGGGCTTATCACACGTCCCCACCCAGGCCCAGCCCTGGGCGGGATGCAGGCCAGGCAGCCAGCCAGCGGGGAACCCGGCAGCCAGGCCCAGCCCCGGCTTGTGCCTCCGGGAGGTGCCACTCTGCAGGGAGACCCCGCGGAGGCCCCGGGCGTGAGGGGCTGAGGAGGGGAGTTTGTCTCTTCACCAAAGTCTAAGGGCCACAGCACGGCAGGTTAAAGAAACACCAAGTTCCCCTCTGTTGTCAGAGGTGAGACCCCTTTCGTGTGGACACCGGGGTCCTCTCAGACCGACCCGTGTTCTGTGAGTGTGCGCCCCGCTGGGCGAGCAGGAGGGGTGTTACTGAGTGACGAGGGCACCGTGTCTGGCAGCCGGGATCATCCCGTGCGTGGGGCCCGCGGGGAACCAACCACCAGGTCCTCAGTGCACGCGGCGAGAGCCTTTCAAACGGTCTCCGCTAAAACCAGACCAGGCAGAACTGGAGGAGAGACTGCTGCTGTCTCCACAGGTAACAGAGCAAGACAGCTCCTCCCGGCCCTGGGACCCGCGGCGCACGGAGGGGGGGCGGGAGGAGAGGTGCGCCATGTCCCGGGCGGCAGACAGCGGCCTTCCCGATGGCCGGCGCGTCTGCAGAGGCTGCCCCGCCCGCCCGCAGGAGCCCGCAGCGTGTGGCTCTGTCCCCCTCACGCCCCTGCGTGCCCAGGAGCAGCCCCGCGGCCTCACCTTGCCCACGCGGTTGATGGCGCAGGTGAAGCAGTGGTTGGCGATGGCCGCGTTCCTGGCCTCGATCGGCCACATGGACTCGCTGTGAGAGAAGAACGGGGGGAACAGGTTGCCGCTTCCCAGCCAGACGGATGCTCGGCCCGGAGCTGCGGCCGCTGCCAGCCTTCCCGGCCTTTGGGGGTTGGAAGGGCGGGGGCGGGGACAGCCAGGGAGACTCGCTGTGCCTGTGGGTGACCCCGTGCTCAGGCCCGGGCAGCCCTTAGGGAGGCCAGCTGCAGGCAGGAGCCTCAGTTTCCTTTTCTGAAAACCCCTCGAAGGGAGATGGATAGTAGAGACCGAATGGCCCTGCAGACGAGGCTTCCAGAGGGGGCTGCGAGGCCGGACTCCACACCTCCTACTTCTCCTCCCTCCCCTCCTCCGGGCGGTGAGGAGCCCGCCCCCCAGGCTGGGCAGAGCCTCACCCGGAACGGCCCCTGCGAAGGCTCCCCCCCCTCCCCCCGCCGCTCGCCCCCTGTGTCGCCTGGCGAAGCAGCCGCGCATGGAGAGGGTCCGGCCAGGCAGGAGGGACCCCGAGGGAGCGAGGGCCGGGGAAGGGTAGGTCCTGCAGCAGGCGTCACCTCCCCGGAGCGGGTCCCCTTTCCCAGGGCCTTTCCGTTTCCTCTTCCGAACCCCGAGCGTCTAAGCAGAGGTTCCCTGTTCTCCTAGTGGCCCAGGAAGCAGGCAGCCACCAGAGCAGCTGAGCTCTGGCTGCCCTCAGCCCAGCACCTGCACAGGGAGGGGACGTGGCCCCAACCAGAGACCCTGTCCTCCTCCGGCCACCAACCACAGTGTGCCACGGAGCTCGGTGGGCCTGCTGGTCGCTGATTCTCTCTCTCTCTTTTTAAAATATATTTTTATTGATTTCAGAGAGGAAGGGAGAGGGAGAGAAAGAGATAGAAGCATCAATGATGAGAGGGAATAATTGACCAGCTGCCTCCTGCACGCCCCACACTGGGGATCGAGCCCACAACCTGGGCCTGTGCCCTTGACAGGAATCGAGGCGTGACCTCCTGGTTGCTGGGTTGACGCTCAACCCCTGAGCCACGCGGCCGATAATTATCTCCTGTCTGAGGAGCATCGCGGAGGTTCTGGATTGACGGGCGTGATGCCCGCTCGGAAAGACTGAGCGACGGGAGCTGAGCGCCCGGAACCTTCTCTCCCGTCGTCGGCAGCACCTGGTTTAAACCGGGAGGAGGCGGAGGGGGCGGCGCTGCCACAGCCTCGTGCTCAGGACTCACGCGGCTGGCAGACAACAATCGCCGGCTTGATTGAGGGGCTCATTTGCTGCTTCTCCCCAGCTGCTAGGCGGAGCTGACAGAACTTTGAAGAAAGGATCTTTACAGAAACACGCCCGTAAGTGACATTTGCAGGGATGACACAGACAGTCGCAGGGCGAGCGGCATACAACGTCTCCCTTGCAATTCTCCGGGGAGGATGTGCTGCGTAGGACTCAAACCCACAGCTGGCGGCACACTCGGGCTCTCGCAACGAGCGAGGGAAAGGAAGCTGGGGGTTCGTGAGAGCCCAGCACGTGCGGGAGTCACACGGAGCCCAGCGGGGCCATGGGGACATCGGCCGAGTTCCCAGCACGGCTCCGCGAGCCCCTAAAAATACTCAGAGGGGGAGGCGAACCGCAGCCGGGGGGGAGGGGGGGTGGTTGGGGCGGCGGCTTTCTGATGAGCGCACGTCCGTGGCAGAGCTTCCACCACACGGGCTGCGTGTGACCGTCAGGGTGACCCAGTTCATCGGAAAAGCACGGCAAGCCCTGGCCGGAGTGGCTCAGTGAATAGAGCGTCGGCCTGCGGACTGAAGGGTCCTGGGTGTGATTCCGGTCAAGGGCATGTATCCTCGGTTGCAGGCTTCTCCCTGGCCTGGGCCCTGGTGGGGCGTGTGCAGGAGGCAACCCATCGATGTGTGTCTCTCACGTGGATGTTTCTCTCTGACTCTCCCTCTCCCTTCCATGCTCTACAATCAATGGGAAAATTCCCTCAGGTGAGGATGAACAAGAAGAAAACGCTTTGCTGGTTAAAAACAAGGTTCAGACCGCGGGCTGGCGTTAAGGACCCTCCGCTCCGACTCCCTCGCTTGCTTTTTGCCCAGGTGCCTGCCGTCCGTGCACTGGGTGCTGCAGAAAAGAGACTGGGGCTGTGGCGGGAGGAGCTGACGCTGGCCAGACACGCCCTGCCCTGGCCCTGGAGAAGGGCTTTTCAATCCTGACGACGAAGGGGGTGAGTGGGGGATTCTTATCATCTCGAGGTTCAGGGTCATAGCCAAGTGTAGCAGCACCGCACAGAGGGCAGCCCTGAGGGGGCTGCAATGGGCATGTGGCGTTGGGTGTGGTCTCCGTGTCACGGAAAAGCTGGCTGAACACACAACACACAGGCCCCGGGCTCAGATTTGTTAGACATCCTGGTGGTGGCACCTGCCTGTTCCCCAAACCACCTCCGAGGACCCTCCCAGATGCCCGCTGCCCAGGAACCTGAGCGCCCCAGACCCTCCAGATGCCCGCTGCCCGGGAACCTGAGCGCCCAGACCCTCCAGATGCCCGCTGCCTGGGAACCTGAGCACCCCAGACCCTCCAGATGCCCGCTGCCCGGGAACCTGAGCGCCCCAGACCCTCCGGATGCCCACTGCCCGGGAACCTGAGCGCCCCACACCCTCCAGATGCCCGCTGCCCGGGAACCTGAGCGCCCCGATGGTGGCCGAGGGGTTGAAGATGATGTCGGCCCCGTTGACGCTGTACATGAACCAGTTGAGGGGGTGGTGCCGCCCGTAGCAGATGTTCACCGCGATCCTTCCGAACTGCGTCTGGAACACGGGGTGGCCCAGGTTGCCCTCCATGTAGTAGGTGGACTGGAAGACAAAGGCCGGGGCTGGATCTGTTTCCCTTTTAGAGGGAGAGAGAGAGAAACACCCACCGGCTGCCTCCTGCACGCACCCTGGCCGGGGATCGAGCCCACAGCCTGCGCCTGTGCCCTGACTGGTCCATGGGACGATGCTCCAACCAACCGAGCCCCACCAGCCGGGCCATGTGCTGAAGCCTCTGAGCTGTGAGAGCTCCCTGTCCTGAGACTCGGCAGAAAAAAACAAATATCGCCAGTTCTCCAGAAGTGCCCCTCGGCGTGTGGCTCGCCTTTAAGTTTGAAACTCCAGTGTCTCCAAAACAAACAAAGCACAGAGAACCCCGACATAATAGCCGAGGAGCCAGCCCAGGGGAAATCCCCGGGGCTCCCGCATTCACCCGCAGTTTCTTTTGTGACGTCAGAAAAACACCCCAACCAACTTCCCTCAGTATCTCAAGGCCCAGCGTTGGTGAGGTCTCGGTCTCAGTGCAACAAAAGGTTGAGGTCTGGTCAGTGTTAACGTGAGCTGGTCAATGTCCTCACCAGTCACATGTTCCTATAAAGGTTAGACGGTGTGGCTCAGTGGTTACGGTTCGATTCCCGGTCAAGGGCACAGGCCCGGGTTGGGTTGTGGGCTCGACCCCTAGTGTGGGGCGTGCAGGAGGCCGCCGATCGAAGATTCTCTCTCATCATTGATGTTCCCTCTCTCTCCCTCTCCCTTCCTCTCTGAAATCAATAAAAATATGTTTACAAAATAAAGGTTAGAGCTGAAGGGACCGGAGCTCATCAAGAGCAACCCCCGCCCACGCGGGGGGGGGAAGGTGGGAGCCTCAGTGGGCACGTGACCTGCCACTCATGAAGGCCAGCCTGAGCCTGGAACTCCTGCCCTGAGAGGGCTCATCCCTACCATGTCCCTGGGCTCCCTGCGCAGGCTGCGGGGTCCCTACAGGCAGACAGGCGGGAGGCCACGCTGTGGGGGGCAGAGGGTGGGCCGGGGTCCTAAGCCGACCTCTCCCGGAGCATTTCACTCCCTCCCGTCCGTTTGGACACGCAGCAGGGGCAGCGACCGGGGTGTGCCCACGGGTGGACGCCGACGCAGATCCTGGGGCGTGGAGACAAGCCCTTCTATCTCCAGAGCTAACGATTAATCCAGGGTAAACAGGCGAGGGCACATTGTCCTGCCCCGTCCAGCTGTCACTGAGCAACGCTGTGCCTCCCCCCGCCCCGACCCCCCCACCCCGGGGCCTCGCTGGCTCTGCGGATCCTTCCTCCTCTGTGTGACCAGCCGAGAGCGGCGGGGCCCCCACAGTCAGGGAGGATCCTGGTGGACTGGGGCCGCCGCAGCCGGAACAGCTGCTCAGACTTCAGATCTTGGGTTCTAGTCGGAGTTCATGTCCCTCCTTCGTAGGCCCACCCTCTCCATCCTACCAACCCACCGATTAGCATTAACCAATCAGAACAGCTCCCGTGACTGAGCCCCTGATCACAGGCCCGAGGCCCCGCCTGACACGTGTGCAGAGACGCACACATCCGCCCAGTGTCACCCGCGTGTGGCAGTGGCTCACTCCGTTCCCACAGGAGCAGAGACAAGAACCCCGCCCTCCACACAAGGATAGAGCGTGAAAGGCGAGGAGCTCACAGCCTGCAAGCGGCCGCCGGGATTGGTTCCCATTTGTGCACGATTGGTTTTGGTTTAATTTACCTACTACTTACTTCAAAGGAGAATTTCAGGAACCAGATCAGGTGATATTAAAAAAAATAAAAAGCCTCTGTGCTAAAGGTGTTTTGGACTCTCCCAGGAGTCCCCTAACCCCTGAATCCTAGGCACTCATGCGATGCAGGGCTATATGGGGAGGCCCCCGAGCCCTGCAGCCCCACTGTGCGCTAGCGTCACATGATGTGACACCACGGGGCACAGAACTTCCGGACAGAAAGACCCCCTGAGCTGGACGAGGGTGAGGGAGCAGGCTGGGCTGGCCGTGGGAGGGTGGCTCACCTCGTTGAAGTCGCCCACTCTGGGGATGTGGTTCTTCCTGGTCTTGCCCAGGATGGCGCCGGAGTTGGAGATGACGACGGCCGTGTTCCACAGCACGTCCCCGTGCTCTCCGTCCCGCTCCAGGATCGGCGAGACCACCACCATGTTGTGCTTCTTCGCCAGCTGGGAAAAGGAGAGACAGGGCCCCGTCCGACTTTCCAATCAACGGCCGTGGGTTCCTACTGAATAATTCAGCGCTTCTTCCAGATAACGGGCCTCGGTTCAGAGCCAGCACTTGGCGTTGGGAGGACGGAGTGCCCGTGCGGCCCCGAGGCCCGAGCTCAGGGACACGGGTGCGATTGCTGTCCTTGAGCACTGCTGGGGGGGATGTGAAATGGTGTGCCCTTGTGCAAACAGCATGGCGGCTCCTCAAACATTAAGAACATGGAATTACCACAGGATCCAGCAATTCCACTGCTGGGTGGAGACCCAGAACATGGCAAGTAGAGTCTCGAAAAGCTATTCGCACCCCACGGTTCACAGCAACACTATTCACCACAGCCAAAGGGTGGAGGCAGCCCCAGTGCCTGCCTGTGGGTGAAGGGTATGGCCACACCATGGAGTACTATTCAGTCTTAAAAAGGAAGGGGGTTCTGACAGACGCTACAACATGGGTGAACCCCGAGGACATCACGCTAAGTGAAATAAGCCAGTTGCAGGAGGACAAACATGCACCGTGTGAGTCCACGTTGGTGCAGTATCTACAGTAGTCAGACTCGGAAGCAGAAAGTGAAAGCACAGCTACCAGTGGCTGCGGGCGGAGGGGAGGTGTTCAATGGGAACCGAGTTTCAGATTGACGAGATGGGAAAGTTCTGGAGATTTATTCACAGCACGATGAGTGTATATGCTGAGCTGGACACTTAAATAGGATTAAGATGGTAAATTCCATGTTATGTGTTTTTAATACAATAAAAAATAAAGGAACAATCATCTTACTTTGTATAGATATTCATAGAAAGGCTCTCTGATACTGAATTCCTTTGTCTCAAATAAGAACATCATTAGGGCCTGAGGACCAGTGGGATGAACAGCCCCAGCCAATCATTTGTCTTCAACTCTAGCCAATCATTTCTCTTCAACCCTAACTAGCCAATTATTTGTCTTCAACTCTAGCCCATCATTTGTCTTCGACTCTAACTAGCCAATCATTTATCTTCAACTCTAGCCAATCATTTGTCTTCGACTCTAACTAGCCAATCATTTATCTTCAACTCTAGCCAATCATTTGTCTTCGACTCTAACTAGCCAATCATTTGTCTTCGACTCTAACTAGCCTGCCGTTACCTCTGGCCTTAAAGGCAGGAGGGAGGGAAGGCACGGGGTGGAAGGCGAAGCTATGAGCATATAGCGGTGGCCGTGCGTCCCCAGGCCCCTCTCCATGCAGACAGGCGTCCCCTGGTGCCATTTCTCGTTCCCACTCTTCCTTTCCTCTTCCTCCAGGCCTGGTGCAGGCGTGCCAGCTGCAGTCGCCTCCTAACCAGCCCAGCACTCTTTCCTCCCACAGCATAGAATCAACCGCCTGGTGACTGAGAGATGGCCCCCGCCCCCCGCCCCAATAGCCTCAGAACACTGGTGTTTGGAATCACAACGAGGTACTGACAGATTCACCATGATTTCAGTTCTGCTTGGAAAACCCCCCAAGATACGCAGACACTCTGGAACGGGATGTGGAGGAAGGAGAGGATTCTTTTCTGTTGAGAATGAGAGGCATTTGGCCTCTCCTGTGGGGATGAGCTCCAATCTGTAACCTCTGCACCGTAAGGGCGCCTGGGGTGGCAGTTTCACGAAGATCCCATTCCCGGAGCATAAAATCCGTTCTTGCTCAGCGTGCCCCTCGGTGGTCTTCAGTGCGCGCTCAGAGCTGTGCGGCCGCCACCACAATCTAATGGTGGCGCATTCTCACGACCTCAAGTGGGAACCCCAGACCCAGTAGCAGTCGCTCCCCACCCCCTCGCTGTCTAGCCCCGGGCAACCACTAATCTGCTTTCTGCCTCTGTGATTTGCTTATTCTGGACATTTCATATAAATGAGACCCTACAACACGTCTTATGAGGTTTTAATCAAGAAAAATGAAGGCCAGTTTCTAATGGAGGAAGACGGGGCATGCAGAGGGGCTTACATAACCCGGGCGGACAGCAGGCGGACCAGCGGAGTGCTGGACAAGGGTCCACTTTGTCCCTGGCCCCCACGTGCCGCTACAGAGCCTGCCACGGGGTCGCCCGGGCCACCCCCACTCCCCTGGCTGAAGCTCCCTTACCTGAAAAAGCCATTAGGGGCTCTTCTGGCTCCGAAACGCCATGATTTTAAGGGAAAGTACCACTTTTATCAAAGGACAGTAAGTAGCCTTATCTAATCTGAGCTGGCACAACAAGCAGCAGGCAGGTGCCTTCCCCTGGCGAGGGCCACGCCCAGCGGCCGTGGCCTCGCTCGGCGCCCCGCACGTGTCTGGCAGCTGATGCCAGGGCAGCAGGTGAGGTCCTACCTTCTGGCAGAATCTGGTGGTGGGCCCGTCCTCGGCTGACTCGGCAAACTCCGTCCACGGGAGCTTCTCTCTCGTGCAGAACGCGAAGGGCATGGCTGCGAGAGGAAAGGTCAGCATCACACCCCGCGCTCAGGGCCTCTGCGGGGGCTCCGTGGCCTGGCAGCAGGGGCTCCCCACAAGAGCACGCAGCCCTGAGTGCCTCGGGCTGGCTTCCAAGTCTCCCCGCTCCCCCCCCCACCCCCGCCGCTATGGACAAAGGACAGACCCTAAGCCAGGGGTCCTCAAACTTTTTAAACAGGGGGCCAGTTCACTGTCCCTCAGACCGTTGGAAGGCCGGACTATAGTTTAAAAAAACACTATGAACAAATTCCTATGCACACTGCACATATCTTATTTTGAAGTAAAAAAACAAAACGGGAACAAATACAATATTTGTATTTGCATGTGGCCCGCGGGCCGTAGTTTGAGGACCCCTGCCCTAAGCTTTCGGGCTTCATAGCAAAACGAGGCGAGGCAGATGCCTCACCAACAATCGCAGCACAGACTTGAACAGACATCTACCCTCCCGTGTCCCAGCAGCATTAGTCACAGGAGCGGAGAGAGGGGAGCCGCTCGAAGGCCCACAGATGGAGGAACGCTAGCTGCACCGGTTAATGATGCGGATTTCTTCCAATCGATGGAGTTACACGTATGCTGATATACAGGCCATGTGATATGTGTGCTATTATGTTGTATGGACAACAAGCTTCAAAACTTCATATGTCACATTTTCTGAAGGTGATAACATCATAGATATTTTTACGCTTAAAAATGTCTAATTTCGTGCCCATAGGACTTTCTCAGCTCCGCGCTCATCTTATGGGACCGCCGTCTGCACGCGGTCTGCCGCTGATGGAAATGCCAGGATATGGCACACGACGGCGTTCCTATGCTCTCTGGCTAGATGCCACCCGGGGGCTAATTCAATAGGGAATTTCATTAAACGCACTGACTTTTGTTCGCTCTCTTTTCGGATAGTGGGTGCATAGGTATGTAATGACAGTTCAAAGAACACTGCATACCAGGTTCAAAATGGCGGTTTCCGCCCGGCCGGCGTGGCTCAGTGGCTGAGCATCAACCTATGAACCAGGAGGTCACGGTTTGACTCCCGGTCAGGGCACAGGCCTGGGTTGTGGGCTCCATCCACAGGAGGCCGCCGATCCATGGTTCTCTCTCATCACTGATGTTTCCATCTCTCCCTCTGCCTTCCTCTCTGAAATCCATTTTTAAAATAAATACAAAATTGCAGGGGAGGAGGGGCACCGCGATGAGGCTGGCTGAGGGTGTTCCATCCCTTGTGGCCTGAGCCACACTCTTCAGGACCTTCCCGTCTTATGGCGTGAGCCTGCCGGTGGTCCCTGGCCTTCTGCATGTGTCCTCTAGGCTGTCTTGTTCGTACCCTTTGCCCACTGAGCCATCTGTCTGTCTGTCTTTCTCTTCTGGGACAGTTAAATTCTTTGTTTGGCCCTGACCGATTTGGCTCAGTGGATAAAGCATTGGCCTGCGGACTGAAGGGTCCCAGGTTCGATTCCGGTCAAGGGCATGTACCTTGGTTGCAGGCACATCCCCAGTAGGGGGTGTGCAGGAGGCAGCTGATCGATGTTTCTCTCTCTCATCAATGTTTCTAACTTTTTCTCTCCCTTCCGCTCTGTAAAAAAATCAATAAAAAATATATATATTAAATTCTTTGTTTGGACCAACTCCATCCGCCCTGTCAATCTGCCCCCTCCTGATAACCGAGTTCATGTCTTTCAGGGAGATGAGCCCAGCAGGCCTTCCCGACGCTGCTGTCTGGCGCCCTGTGGGGAGGGGTATGGGTAGCTGTGTGATGTGACCGGTCAGTGATTTAACTGGTTGCAACCTGTTGGGCGTGATCATCGTCGTCAACCTCCCCCGAACACAGGCCACGTGCCCAGCACAGTGTCACACCCAGTCATAGGCAGCCTGTTCCCAGACACCCCTGCGAAGCAGACCTGACCCTCCTCACCCCACGGAGAAGGAAGAGAATCCTTAGCGTCCCCATTCCTTCCAGGCCCAGGAAGCCTGGGACGAAGATGATGTCAAGGGCAAAGAGGTCACCAGCGGCACCGCCACCCTCTCAGCAGCCAGGGGTGGTGGCCAGGGAGGTGGCTAAGTGGGCGCCAGGCTCTGCCAGCAGCAGCCCGGAGGGGGCCTTGGCAGCAGGCTCAAGACTCCCCAGGCTCCTCTTCAGCGAAGAGAGATGAACTGTCTGGAGGAAGCCAACAGAGGAGCTGTTGACAGCAAGCCCCGTCCTTAATGAGCGTTCCTTCTCGGCTTTCAGAGCATTAGGGGCAACTCGGCGCCCCCAGAGAATAACACTTCCCTCCCGATTTCATTTCAGAGGGAGGCGCGCTCCCAATCTCTCCTCTCCACTCTCCCCATGTTAATGGCTTCCTTTCCTGTTTACACAACCACCGCCATGTAAACAAACTTTCAAAAGAAGGATGTGGGGCGGAGGAGGGGGAGGCTGGCTGGAGGGGAAGGGGGTTCCCCATTCATTGAACCAACACTCCCCAAGTCAGGCTGTGAGCCTAGAGCTGGTCCTGCCGGCAGGAGCTGCCGCCTAAAGAGCAGCTGAAGGGTGACCCGGTGCGGCTGCCATGACGCCACCGAATGCCCCATTCTGTGTCGGGGTGTCCCCTGGGCCCCTCGAGGAGAAGGTGCCTGTGTGAGGCCGTGATGGATGAGTGGGAGTTTTCCAGATCCAGCAGAGGGGAGAGAGTTGGTTAAACCACCCATAACTATGTTTTAGTGTCTGTCATGTACCGGGGATTGTTCAAGCCGCTGAAGAAAAACACGGGGTGGAGGAATGAATAAACAGAACGTGGGCTATCACACAATGAAACAAATGAGCGACACCCAGGCTGGCCTCGCGGGGCTTGGAGTCTAAGGGAAGAGCCAGGAAAATCGGAAGTGACATGCAACCAGAAATGTGGAAAACTTGAGAGAAACGCCTGGGTACAGATGGCAGACTGGACTCGCACTGTGATTCTTTCCTGACACCCCATCTGCATGTCAGCACAGCGATTTTTATGTGAAGGTAGAAACCACCAGGGATGGGCACTGGTAGAGGGACAACAGCCACAACACAGGAGGCTGGAGAGGACATCTTGGGGGACTGAGAAAACGGAGTCCCTCCGGCCGTGGAGGAGCCCGGGAGGCACCCTACCCTTCACCACAGGCCCCTCGAAAGCTCAGGAGCCAGAGATGCCGCGGAGGAGCCCGGGAGGCACCCTACCCTTCACCACAGGCCCCTCGAAAGCTCAGGAGCCAGAGACGCCGCGTAGCTCTGAAGGTCGGGACGCAGGAAGGGGTGACAAACAGGAAGGATCGGTGGAAAGTCTGTTTAAGAAGCAGTGGGAGGCCCAGATCCATCCTCTACTAGAAGAGGCTGGGATGCGCCCCACCCGCCCCTGCACAAGGCCACGGGCTCATTCTCCAGAGAGAGATAGGCAGAGGGTCTCAGGCCCTGGGGAGACCAGGACAGAGAACAGCACAGTGTCCAAAGCAGAGGGAGTAAGTAAACATCAGCGTTCTGGACCCCTGTTCTCCTTCTCTTCTTGGCAGGAGATTAGAGGGATCCTCTCGAGCATCTGACCAGTCTGCAGAGAATGACCTGGAGACAGTACCGTGGGGGATTGCATAACCAAGAGTGAAACTGGGTCATCCTACCATGAAGCTCGGTGAAGAAACCCGTCCTACAAACTCAGAGATGGCAATCAGCTTGTTCACCCCCAAGTCTGAAAATAGAATCCATCAGGGGCGAAAAGACCAAAAGGAGTAAGAAAGGACGATGTAGGAAGAAAAAAAAATACTACTTAATATCTTCAGAGATAAGAGAAGATAGTGCAATTATAAAATAAAAACAGGATGTGATAAAAAAGGAACTTTCAGACCAAAAGAACTCTGATAAGGTCAAAATATGAGAGCAGAAACCAAAGACTAAATAGCAGGCTGAATGCCAAATTAGATAAAATCTACCAGGGAATTGGGGGGGGGGGGGGAGACAGAGATGTAAAAAAAAACACAAAACGAAACATTAAAAAAATAGGGATTGAGCCCAGAGTTCCAATATCCTAATAGCAAGAGATCAGGAAGAAAGCAGAGAAAAAAAGGAGGGGAGAAAATCACTAATGAAACAATATAAGAAAATTTCCTAGATTTGAAGGACCCAAATTTCTAGACTGAAATAACGCATGGAGTGCTTAAAATAGTGGATTAAAATAGATACAACAGCATGTCATTATGCAATTTCAAAGTATTAGAGAGAAAGAGAAGCTCCTACAACCTTATGGAGAAAACTACCTGAAGCTGGAAGACCATGGAGCAAGGTGTTTAAACTTCTGAAGGAAAAGGATTGCTGACCTAGAATTCTATACCCAACCAAACTATCAACCAAGTCGTAGGAGAAACATATTTTCAGATGTGCAAGGTCCCCAAAAGGTTACCTCCTGTGTGTTCTTTCTCAGGGAACTGTAGTGGACCCTGAAAACACAGGGGTTAGAGGCAACAACCCCACCAGCAGTTGAAAATATTCGTATAACTTTTGATTCCCCCAAAACTTAACGACTGATAGTCTATTGCTGACCGGAAGCCTTCCTGAGAACGTAAACAGCCGATTCACACATATTTTGTGTGCTATATATATTATATACTGTCTTTTTACAATAACGTAAGCTAGAGAAAAAGAAAATGTTATTAAGAAAAGGAAAAATATATTTACAGGACAGTACTGTGCTGTATTTATTGATACTGTAAGTTTAGGTTGCCTGTTTAGATGAAAAAAAAAAAAATCATGTATAAGTGAACCCTCACAGGTCAAATCTACGTTATTCAGGGATCAACTGTACTCCACCTAAATGAAGGAGCAAACCAAGAAAGAGGAAGGCGTGGATGGGAGCATACAAGAGCGCGGCAAAGGGACTCCCCAGGATGACTGTGATGGGGAATCCCAGGAGGACCCTGGCCAGCAGAGGGGACACCCAGCTCAGACCCGAGAGAGTCAGAAGGCCACGGGCCACGTGCCTTCCAGGAGATGAAACCAACAGACAGCTTTAGGAAACTGGCAGAGAGCTGGGGTAGAATTTGCGGCAAGGATGCAGAACACAAAGCCAGTTCCAGGGCTAACAGAAAGCTGTTCAGGGAAAGAAGCCCAGGGCACCAGGAGCCCAGCTGAAGGCGATTACAGACGCCCCTGTGACGGCGCCTGAGGCCTGGGGCCTGGGCAGTGCTGAGGCGGAGGGGCCCTGGCCAGTTCGGTTCAGTGGACAGAGCGTCGACCTGCAGACCGAAGGGTTCCAGGTTCCATTCTGGTCGGGGAGCACGTACCTCGGTTGCAGGCTCCTCCCCGGCCCTCTCCCACTCTCTCTAAAAATCGGTGGAAAAATATCCTCGGGTGAGGATTAACAAGAGGAGGAAGTGAAAACAGATTCAGAAGGATTTGGGAGGAAGAACTGATAGGACCAGGTGACACAGACTGGGGCGTGTGAGAGGGAGGGAGAGAGGCTGGGCTTCCTGGGTTCCTGGTTTTGTTGACAAAGAAACTTTCTATGGATGAGAAAAGAAAGGAGACTTTTTAAAAACCACGGAGCAGGCCCTTATCAACATGGAGATAACTCAGTATTGCCCAAGGGCGGCTGAGAAAGCCCCCCCCCCTCCCCGCCCCCAGAGACTTACTCCAGGCCTCCTGGAAGCAGATGATGTTGACTCCGCACATCGCAGCCACCTCCACGATGGCCTCTATGCGCCTGTGAAGGGCGGAGACCTGGCAATTTAAAAATCAAGGATTAGGGGAGCATGTGAGACCTCGCTTCCTAGCAGTATCATCAGTTTGGCTCAAATAAACTCACAAAAGTTCTCTACAAATGTGGACGTTTCTTACATCGACATATGCTGGCAGGATTTATGTACGTGTATTTCAGAGAGGAAAGGAGAGGGAGAGATAGAAACATCAATGATGAGAACCATTGATTGGCTGCCTCCTAACACACCCCCTCCCGGGGATCCAGCCTGCAACCCGGGCACGTGCCCTTGACTGGAATCGAACCTGGGACCCTTCAGTCTGCAGGCCGATGCTCTATCCACTGAGCCAAATCGGCTCGGGCTGCTGGCAGGATTTTAAAGAAGCCTGCCCAGGACCACCCCGCAGGCCCAGACCCGGAGCTGGGTGCCAGCACGGGCCCCTTGTGCCCCACCCGGCGTCAAACTGGGTGAACTTGGAAAGGACATCAAATAAAGGCAGTCTCCAACCTGGATGGAAGGGACTGTATCAGGCACCCGACCTGAACGGACCCCTAACCTTGCCTCTGCCCACAGGGGCATCGAAGGCTCCTCTCGGATGAGAAGCTGTGGCGTCAGAGGGAGACAGCTACCCCAAGGCACTGACAGGCCTGTGCACACACCCACGGATTGATGCTGAACTCAGAAACTATTTTGTTTGTCTTTCTCTGCCTGCTCACGATATTAGCCATAATCCTTATATCTGTTCATTGGGTTTTTCTATATAATCCAACTGTTTAGGATTACTGAACACGTGCGTATCAGATAACTGTTAATGCTCTTGCTATGGCTTATGGAAATGTTATACTAGATGCAAAATACAGAAAAATGAGACAGACAGCAAGACTCGGATCATGATGGTTCCCGGGAGGGAAATGGTCCCGAGTGCTGACTGTCTTCCATGTACCTGCCCTTGCCCTTTTGGGGAAAACTCGGCCTCAACTCACATTCCATGGTGACCGGACCGCCCCGCCCCCCAAGGTCAGCAAGAGGATGTTGACACTGAGATTTCCTAGGAATGAGACTTCCTAGAGCTGAGACCGCACTATCCAAGCCGGAGCTGGTCATCAGCGCCTTCTTCCGACCGACTTCCGACCGCAAGGGGGAACTGAGGACAAAAGGGGCTGACTTCACAGGGTGGTCTGATCACAAACCCTCACTGGGCAGGTCCTGTGGGCAGTCACTCCTCAGGCCTGCTCCTTCCTCGGCAGAAGGTTGTCTTTGTCGTGAGCAGGCCCTGCACCCTGCCCTGGTCCCCGGGCGTCTAGGTGAGCCCGTCTTTGAAAGGACCCTCTCCGCCCGCTCAGAAGCGGAACAGCCCTCCGTAGGGCGTAGGGCGTGGAAACTTGGGAACGACCTGCCATCCAGCTCCTGCCTTGCCCCCCGCCCCCTCTCATGTGACCCTCCTCGCATTGCCCCTTAGTTTCCAGCGCACAGAACACACTGCAGACGGCTCTTCTCGGGGGCAAGGTTTGCGATTTTGCTTCCTGGCGATGTTGTCAGTTTGGGCTCAAGTCAATTTATAGAAATTCCCTACAAATAAATAAAACCCGGGATGAGAGCATAGGAGTTCCAGTGGTGGCGACCCTTGTAGAACTCCTCCCAGCCCACAGGAAGCCACACCCCCCACCGGCTCAGCTGCTGGAGGACGAGCAGGGTCGGGAGGCTCTGACAGCGCATTCTGTCATCAGGCCCAAAATCTACACGAAAAGGGGGAGCTGCAGAGGCTCTGGGGTCCCTCGCACCCTCGCTACAGCCTTCCTCAGCCTCGGTTTACTTGACTGGAGAATGGGGAGAACGCTGCCTGCCTCCTGGGGTTGCCTTGCTATGAGGATGGTGGTTACTGCAAGATAGGGGGGGGCACCCAGTGGGCCTACCACACACAGGACATCCCCTGGTTTAACTGTTCCCTCATCCCAGGACACAGTCCACTCCCTCACCTCCACCCCCCCGTCCCCCGCCCCAGTCCCGCATTCCAGGCTTCAGGAAAGCCTCATCCTGCCACTTCTAAACTTTATTTATTTGTTATCCTCACCCGAGGATATTTTTCCATTGATTTTTAGGGAGAGTGGAAGAGAGAGGGAAACACAGAGAGGAACATTGATGTGAGAGAAGCACATCGATTGGTTGCCTCCTGCACGCACCCCGACCAGGCCTGGGCCGGGGAGGAGCCTGCAACCTGACTGAGGTATGTGCCCTTGACCAGAATCGAACCCGGGACGTTTCGGGGTCCACAGGGCAAGGCTCTATCCACTGAGCACACTGGCCAGGGCCTGCCACTTCTATTCTCCTGTGTGTAGCTCATCATTGAATGACTCGCTTTCTCAGCCGTGCCTGGGGCCAGGAATGTGCTTTCCCCTCCCCTCCGCCACCCTCCCTGGATGAGCTCTCCGTGTCACCCACCGAGGGGAGCGTCTCCCGGGAGTATCGGGGTGCCCCTGCGGCGGAGCGGTTCCCATTGCGCCGTCACAGCCCTCCACCGCCTGTCGCTCCCATGACCCCAGGAGGAGAGTGTCCCCACCTTCCCTGCGTCCTCAGCACCATGGCTGGCTCCGGGGAGACGCTCAGCGGCGTTTGCTCGGAGAAAGAGACCCGGGAAGCAGCTCAACACCAGAGAGCACGAACTCGTCAGGGCGCTCTCTCCCTGCAAGCCTCGCACCCGGCCCCAGGGATGTTTGCCGGGGCTGAGTGTGCAGCACCCCGGCCCCTGACAACCTGACAACCTGGGACCGTCAAGGAGACATGCTGACAATCAACTCATCTGAAAATCAGAAACCTTTTAATCCAACCAAAGCGGAGGAAGGCCTGGCCGGCGGGGCTCAGCGGTTAAGCGTCGACCTATGAACCAGATCAGGGTTCTATTCTGGGACAGGTCACTTGCCCTGGTTGTGGGCTCGATCCCCAGTGGGGGGGCGTGCAGGAGGCAGCCGATCCATGATTCTCTCTCCTCATTGGTGTTTCTCTCTCTCTCTCTCCCCCCTCTGAATCCAATAAAAATATATTAATAATAATAATAATAATAAAAAGCAGAAGAACCGATGTGAGGACAACGCAGAAACCCGACCTGGAACCCAGTTGATCCCCGGGGTCTCGAGAACCCTAAGAAACCCAAGCGCGCGTGGCAGCCGGAGGGCGCCTCTGCCGAGCGAGCTGGGAGGTTCGAGCAGCTGGAGGAAAGCTGTGAGGACGTGTACACAACACCCCGCCCGCGCCTGCAACAACAGGTTTCTTTAGGGAAGAAACCTAAAGAACTAGCTGTCCCGTGGAGAGTCCTTGTAAGCAAACGCCTATCACATTCCCGCAACCCTGCGGCACCATCAGCTGACAGACACCTGGGTACAGTGAGTCCCAGCCCGAGGGACGAGGCGGAGGAACATGGGACAGGCGGGCGGGTCCTGACTGGTGTGGGCTGGCGGAGGCTGAGAGGCGGATTCCGTGGAGAGTTCGAACCAGCCATGAGGGCACCATCCCCAGGGGAAAATGGAGCCACAGATCAACGCAGAAGAGGAAGCAGAGGTGGAGGTGGAAAGAACCATGAGAAGGGACAGGAAGGCAGAGAAAGGGGAGGAGGCAGAAGAAAAAAGAAGAGAGGAAGAGAGAGAGAGACAGACAGACAGACACAGACAGGAGAGAAGGGGGCGGCCAGGGCAGAGGTGTCTGGGCACTCGATGGACCTGCTGGCCGAGACCAAGTGGCCGGCAGGGGCTGTGGACGCGTCCAAAACACCGAGCGGGCCCGGCCCGTGTGTCTATTTAGGGGCCAAAGCAGCCGCACCTGCTTGGCCACAGGGGCCTCCGCGGGCAGCGGGATCCTGTTCTGCACAAGCCCCACGCGCACGGTCCGCGGGCCCCGCAGCTGCTCCTCGGCCGCCTCGAAGGCGTATCCCTGCAGCTCAAAGTCCCCTTCAGCGGCCGATTCCAAAGCCCGGCTGGGCAGGTCGAGCTTCCTGAATGGGCAGAAAGAAGAGGGAGACGATCGGCATGCGCTGAATTTCAATTCCCCGTCCCAGAGGCATTCACCAGGCAGGGAAGAGGTGTCGTGCCCTGGCAGGCAGGCGCACGGAGCCCGGCCGGCGTGCCTCAGGGGTTGAGCATCGACCTAGGAACCAGGAGGTCAGGGTTCGATTCCCTGTCAGGGCACAGGCCCGGATTGCGGGCCTGATCTCCAGTATGGGGCGTGCAGGAGGCGGCCGATCCATGATTCTCTCTCATCGTGGATGTTTCTATCTCTCTCCCTCTCCCTTCCTCTCTGAAATCATTAAAAATATATATATTTAAAGAAAAAAGAAGGTACATAGAGCAGTCCAATGGCGGGGCGCACGTGTGGGGAGCTGGAGTGGGGCCTGGAGGAGGGGGTGGGCCTGGACGGCTGAGAATGGACACACAGACACGGCACTGAGGCGATGGTCACTGGGGACATCCCAGCAGGTGGCAGAGGTCAGACCTGGCCAAGGGAGGCGGGGGGGGGGGGGGGCAGGGAGACTGGTCAGGAGCTGGTGTTTTGGAGTCGCTGAATCAGGGTGCAGATGGAGTCTCAGCAATCAGCACAGGAGCGAGGGAATGGATCCCCCCAAATGCCTGTGGACTAGACTCAGAGGGCTCTGCTGAGCCTGGGGAGGGTGCGCTGTGATGAGAGGGGGCTGTGGAGAACCGGGCTCAGGAAACAGCTGGGTGGAGAGGCCGGGACTGAGAGCGGCACAGAGGGCCCTGCGGCCCTTCACCACCGAGGACTGCACGTCTCCCGGGATCCCCACCGTCTGTCTGCTGCTGCTCCCGCGAAGTGCGAGGTAGGGGGGGGAAATGCGGGGGCACGAGGGATGGGGGGCGGAGACGATCCCTCGCTCAGGGCTGGGTGGGCCTGGCGAGGGCCCACATGTCCAGGCTGAAGGCCCGAGCGCCCCTGGTTTGTGGCTTATTAACCAAGGCCAGTGGATGATTTACGGAGCCTCCCACCGGAGCGACCGTTGGCCCCGTGGCAAACACCTCCTCGGCCTGCGGCGCGCTCGGTGCTGGGGTGAAACCCACAGGGCACGAGGTGTGGCCCCGGCCGGGCAGGCCTTGCCATCTGGGGACGCGATGGTTATGAAATACCCAGGGAACACATCAAAAAACAACCTGACAGCCATTATCTAATAATAATATTTCCCTCCCACCTGAAGTCACTTTCTTCAAGATGTTTCTTTCAAAATCACAGGCCTGTCAGCCCAGGCCCCTGCCGCCGCCCCCTGCCAGGCAGTTCCCACATGACAGCCCTGACAGCTGCCGAGATGGGCTCCGCCCCTGACAATCAGTTCCTTTCGCTTCGCAGGTTAGAAATAACAGCGGTGCCCACACCTCGCCCCCTTCCCTGTGACTGCCTCAGAGACGGCCCTTCCCTCCGGCAGGGGCCCCTCCATCCCGCAGGCTCAGCCCCAGGCCCAGGCCCCGTGGTGGACGGAGAAGGAGACGGAGAAGGGAGTTCTGCGTCCCTCAGGCCCACGGCCAGGGAGCCGCACCACCCTGTGGGGAGGCCCTGGCGCCCCGTCCTCAGCCTGCGGGCTCACGCCTGGAAGAGAGCAGGTGGAGGAGGTCTCGTCTCAGGTGTGCCAGCCCCGAGATAACCATCACCTGGATGACGTCCCTCCGCCCCCGGCCATCTTTCCCGACCCACTGCCCACAGCTGTCTGCTCTCCCCGTCTTCCCACCACCACCTCTCAGTCCCTGCAGACACTCTCTCTCCTAGGCCTGAGGCGACGCGGGCCAGGCCCTTCCACTTTCTTAGGGCTCTACCTGTCCTCAACGTTCCCCTTCAGCAAGATGCCCCCGCCCTGGTGTTATCCAGGGGGTTCATCGCCAAGCCTTGGAGAACCCATTCAACCCTTGAGCCCCATTCCTTCAACATGGGCTGTGCCCACCAAAGGTGTGGCCGGGCGATGTGGTGGGGCACAGACCAGCCACCACGGAGGAAGGGCAGAGACCAGGAAATGAGCCCAACCTCACACAAGGGGCGGGGGGGGGGGCGGGGGAGGATCTGTGCTGCCCACACCTTCCCTTGGTCCCTATAGTTGGGGGTCTGCCCCGCCACCCCACATCCTGCTACTGAGGCCCCCACCCCTCGTGGGCTCACCTCTAACCTCAAGGAGGAAAGCCCACCACTTCCTGTCCTGGCCCAAACACCTTCCAGGCCCTTCTCCTGGGCCCCTACCTCTCCACCCAGGGTCCAGGCACGTCTCACAGGACGGGAGCCCAGCTCCC